GTACAGGGGGACGGGTATATAGGGAGGGGATGGACGGAGGAATGAAAAGAGGAAAACATGCACGGCTGTCTGTGAACCCAGCAGCACTGTAAGGCTGAGGTACGGCGGTGGAGGCCCGGTCATTGCGGCTGAGGCACTGGGGGTGGAGGTAGTGGTGGGGGTGGTGGAGGGGTACAGGCGCTCAGTCAGGCTTCCTGTCTTGGCACACCCTGCACTGCCCATTTCCTGCCTGCTGAAAAATGCCCAGCTCCGCCCACCTTCAGCTAGAAGCTAGAAACCTTGCTCAGTCAACCCAGACAGCGCCTGTCAGGCCGAACACTTCATTCCTTCTACCCTCTCACGTTTCCTGCCAGACTACCAGGTGTCTTTCAAGGAAAACCACCGGCTCATAGCAACTTAGGTCAACTTTATATTTGGAGCTGTGGCTACCAGTCATGAATAAAATAGTACTTGCCAAAGTTAATTGCTGAGATCTGGGCGAACGAGGAGACATCACTGAAACAGGGGGGCAACAAACATGAGCAGTCAGATCTCCTCGACTAACCTTTTGGCTCGGTCACAAACTGTCTATAAATGTGACTGTTGGTGTTTCTTGTTGTTAGTTGTTACAAACTGTGGCTTTTCTATTCAAGCTGTGCTGAATAGGCTCTTTACGTCACTCTTGTGTGCGTCTTTACATTGAAGCTGTGCATATTAAAAAGTACATGCTCCAACGCAAACGTAAACCAAAGGGTTATCGAAACAATAAAAGCAAAACGCAGAATTTGGGCCACTTATCACTCCCTAATTTATAGACTCAACAACTCATAACATCCATACAGTTGGATATTTACATATGCAGCAGATATGGAGCAACATAAGCATTCATTTGGAGTCACGGTTCTAGTCACTTGACGAATGCAAGTCGCATATTAACTTTCCTTTTAACCCACCATCTCCTGAAGGAAATATCTGTCTCTTCAGCTGCTAAATGCTCCACTATGTTCACCAGCTAGTTTCTAACTGTGTATATCTATGGTTTGGTGCTGAACACGCAGAGTGTAATCTGGGTTTATCAGAGCTATTTTAATGACAACGGCTGCTCCAAACACTGGTGAGAGTGAAACCAGAAAACCAAAACAACAAGCTGAAAGATGCTAAAATGCTTGATAGAGGGCTGCAGAGTCGGGTGATAATGCACTGTGGGTTCATCATAAGAGCGACTCCTCTCACACACACATATTAATCATATCCAATTGTTAATATGAAAACACATGTTTCGTGATTCAGTACATGGTTTGTTTACACCACAAACTCCTGTGTGTGAACATACCTGCAATTTACATGTTCACAAATGACCAATTTGGCCTTTAATGTCGGTGTTTCTTGTGTGCTCGGATGGTATCGGGCTGAAGGAAGGTTCGACCAACAAAAAAGAATCAGTGCCCATTTCATAACACAACTCTCCTCACCGTTCAACATGCACGACCAACAATAAGCGCTTGGAACAGAAAGCTAGCCTCACCACAGTGTGTTTCACACAAACACACATCCTCCCACACCATGAAAGGGCACTTCAGACAAACGCTTAAAAATAATAATCAGATAGTACATGAAAGAAAAAGAGTTTTGGGCCCAAACATTTTTCCAAAAGTAACTCCACCCGATTCCAAAGGTCACTCCTCTGAACAGAGCCTTCTGTGTTGCTTGTTTAAGAACCATTTTACGTGTTGCATCTGACAAGAACATCCGCTCTCATACAACAGTCACTCCACACCTCTTGAAAAGGAGCCTGGCTGGCACTGAGGAAAGTGGAAAAGCTGGTCTGTTTTGGAACGGCTATTTTTCCCCGTGTACATGAATGCACGCAGGGAAAGACCCAGCTGTGAGGAGGGAAAATTACCAACTCGCAGAGGTCACGCTGTACCAGCCAGTGAACGGATCTGCATTGTAATTCATAATTCTGCTCATCTTTGTTGCCACAGCATCTATCGTTCTTATCACAATCATGGAATGACTCTTAAGAGTTTGTTTTCCACAGAGCATCTTCCATGCCATTAATAACAGGGCGTTTGGTGATGCAGATAAGCCCGGTGGGATGACGGCGTCTCTAAAGAGCCCATTAAAAAGCATGAAAACATAGAGCTTCAGGATATTTGCAATGTGTGACCTCAGAGCACCGGGCTTCTGTTACCGAGGGCAGAGGTGGAGGGCAGCAGCTGGTTAAAGACACAGACACACACACACACGCTGAAGGCCGGGCTCCAGCATAATTAAACTCGCAGGCCAACACCCCCATGGCAGGTTTATGACCGTCCCCTAACAGGATGGCTTTCTGCGGCCTCGTGTGAAGGAGCCTTTAGCCCTAAAGCTCAACTTCCTGCAGGACCGGTGATGTCATGACGACACGTTATAAAGGGAACATCTGTGCAGCTCGGCAAGGCTCCTCAGCCCACTTGCTCGTTACACCGAACACGCGTGAACATCAGAGTTTGTCCGTATACACGTGGGGGTTAGGACTCGATGATGACGGCTTGTGTTGTGATCTGCCACCAATTAAACCGTCCCTCAGCAGTAACACTCCTGCAGCAGGCTGTTTTTAAGCACCGCAGTGTGTTCGGCTGGCAAGTGCCAGCTCAATTTGTTACATTTGTTCAAGAAACCTTTTGATGTGCGTCGTAAAGAGACTTTACTGAAGTTATGTGTGAGGCTAAAATAGGTACGCAAACAGTTGCAGTTAAGGCAAAATTGATCAGTATCAAAATAATCACAATGACGTCTGATACAGCGGATCATACGTTTGTTCATTACAAAGGAATCGGTGTGTTTTTCTTTATTGTAGCCTTAATCAGAATGTTCTGTTCACTTGTTGCATGTTGAGCTGCAACTTACAGCTATTTGAGGTGTCAGTGGATACATCTATTATGTTCTTGATTGATAAATGGTCAATAAAATGTCATTCACATTTGATTTTTGCTTAATCATAATTATAATGATCAATCAACCATCAAAAGTATCGCTAATTCATTTTCTGTCACTTGACTGATCATTTCAGCTCTATTTATGAACCAATTATTAATGACTTAAGCTCATATTTAATTTTCTGCATGCTTTTAAAAGTCTTCTGTTGATTGACAGATTTGCCATTTGATATTTATAAAAAAAGCATTAAAGGGTGCAGAACCTGTAGCCCAATCACATCGTCCCTTGTTCAATATTGGCGGGGGACTTTTGTTGCTTCTCTCTTTTCTGATGTTTCAGAGATGATGACACTAAGAAATCAGACGCGTTATTTTTTTTAGACGTATACCTCCAGTGGGCCCCATTAGATACAATTTGAAGCATCAGCAGTTACTGCTATGACACTGAACATTCTTTAGAAATTTCAACATCTCAACAAAAAAAACGTTTCATGCAATCAAGTTCCTCAAAACTCTCCAACCCAGCAAGCATTTGGCTCACATGTGCATCACCAACGTATACGAGGTGTGGGAATGTAGAGTCTGCTGGCTGACTAGTCTTGCATCTATCTGGACATTTTGTTTTCATACCACCGTGTCTCACTACGGCCCAAAAACATGACAGCAGCAACCAAGCAGAACAGCCCTGAGGAGTTCCCGCGTGATACTGAACAGTTTCCCAATAACATCAAGAGGTTTTGTCTCAAATAACCTGTAAAGTGAAGCTGAATGGAGATCCAGAGGAAGAGATTTCCCACCACTACACCTACGCCATGTCTGCGCTGTGTGCCCCGGCTGACTTCATGTAGGCAGCTGGGATCCATTCCAATGATCAGAGTGATTGTTCCCGTTCCAGTTATCAAAAAGCAACTCACTGGATTCTGTAGCTCTTCAGACATGTTCTACTATGAATGTTTACCATTTGTTTTTTATCGTTTCTCAGCACATTTCCTTCAATACAAACTCCTCAGAGTCTCCCTTAGCTGAGGATCATTGGAAAGAGGAGTCTGGGTGTGCTTTCATCGCCCACCCTCCCCCACACCTACTTTACAAGGGCTAAAAGTACACCCATCCATCCATGTTGACAGTGAAAGGCCGGTCTTGTTGCTTGGGCTTATGTGCACCTGCTCCAGTACACTCGGGACACTTTAGCCTGCCTGTTAGCCTCCATCACATCATTCACAGCAAAAAAAATACACACACGATTTGAGTTTGTTTGGCTTTCACACACACACCGTTAAATATTGTTTTTACTGTCCTGTTAGCGATAAACACAACATCTTGCTCGACTTTGAATTCATACCTTATCCCTTTGATTTGTGTATAACGCGCCGATAGTTACACAAAGACACACTCTGTCTTTAAGGTTTGTTTCCAACAGACATCAATACAACCCGTAATTGACATTCATGGCACATTTAAGCTGTGCTTTGCAGAGCTCTTTTCTCCACTAACCTGCAGCTGGAGACTGAGCCGTGTGAAGAAGCGGAACGCTCTGGGCAACAGAGGAGCAACATCTCAGACATTTTCATATCTTGGACCCTAAAATAGACTCAGTTAAAGCTGCTCGTGTGTTATTAATGCCCCCTGTCCACAACATAAGACAGGATCGGTTCTTTTATCAGTCTTGTTTAACACTCTTTGTGCAAGTACAGAGAAACGTGATCTGAGTGTCTTCTGATTATTTCCCCTTAAAATGTGAGTGGGTTTAAACTGCTCTTCCATTTAGCTGGGACCCTGTGGACCTCCTTCAAGGAGCCTGTTTCCCAGATTGCTGCTCAGACCGTCATGCCTTCTTCCCCACAACAACATCCAAACTTCCCACGACCACATTAAGCTGCAATAACTGGCACACTACAACTACTACTACAACAACAACAAGCCCCGGCTTGCGTACAGCATAACTTGCACGTAATCGCGCAAACAGCCCATGTGTGAGGCAACAGGACTTCTCGGACCTCCACCTCCAAAAAAAAACAAAACGTGCCAAGCCTCGGTTATACGTGTGGCTGTTGTCCTTTACTTTAAGAAAACAAAACAAAACAATTCTTCAGCACTTACGATTTTACTGAGATCCATGGTCGCCTCTCAGCACGGTGAGTGCGGATCCCTGGAGCCGGAGAGGAGACCCGCTGTATCCCAACGCGGAGTAACTAGTAACGGGGAAGCGATTGAGGCAACAGATGCATTTGGGAGGAGAAGGGGGGGGGGGGGGAGGAGGTGGAGCAGTTAGCTCAACATGTGTCCCGATTTGGTATTAAAATGCTCCCCAATCCTTCCTTACTTCCTCAAGCGTCCCGTCTCCCTTTTTTCCTCCACGAGCCCGACGTGCTCCCTTATCGGCGAGAACTTCCAGCATCCGACCGCCGAGAAGCCGACGCTGTCCGTGGGGGGAAAACACGAGACTACCGCTGATTCAACCCGCTCATTGAAAGCTTCGCGTTCACACCCTAACCCTGCTCGTATGCATCAGCCCACGTATAGCGGCTAAGTCCGGATAGTGGGCCACCTTTATTTTGCAAATAGCCCGCTCTCCTGTTAGACAATAGTAGCATGGAGCCTGCAGAGAGGGATGGCTTAAAACCAGTGGTGCCCAATCTGGGGTCCGGGGACCGACGGGGGTCCTGTGAGGAGGGGAGGTGATCTCCAAGAAATGTGGAAACAGCTGCATTTAGGAGGGTGGTTTAATCACTCATTGTTTTATCTGACCTGACCTGCAGCAGAATAAGAAGAAAAAGACACAAACTAGTTTTGCAATAAATAAGTTAATTAATTAATTAATTAATGAAGCAAAAATCTTCTCAGGATGTTCCTTGGGGGGATGATGTCAATAGTCATTCATTAAAGAGCCATTTGTAAGAAACCCCTCTTCCTCTGTTTAATAAAACACCACCAGTGTTTTAGTAGCACACATTCTGTTTTTTTTGTTTTTTTTAAAGCCATTGGCCCCGTCTTAGATGTGAATTATATTCGGGTCTTGTTCTCATGTGTGTGTGCAATGATATTATGGCAAACACATGAAGTCTTGAAATAAGTTTCATAGGTGAAAAAGGGGGGGCAGCTCAACTTCCACCATGAGAGCTATTGTAGGCAGCTGACGCCCCCATCTGGTTTCTCTGAGACTGTCAACCGATATCTTCAATGCAGAGTTGAGCTGGTGTTTGTTGTGAGCCTGGTGCGTCTAGTAAGTACATGTTTTTACGATAGGCGTCTGTCACAGAAGACATTCTGAGGTGTAGGAAAATCACAGGTGGGAATAAAAAAATTAATTATTATCTGAATGCCATCTTGCTGGTCCTGGTATTGTGCGCGCTGGTTCATTGTCACACTAGCACAACTTATGACACTTTAAACCATTGTTGTTGTTATTTTTAAAAACTGTTTAATTCAAGTTTAAAATAAAATAACAGAAATTGTATCATATTCATAATTGTAATAAATAAATTCACTAACCACACTTGTTTACCGTTGAACTGCTGTACTGGACTGTTTTAGATTATGTGTACCTAATAAAGTGGCCAGAGTGCATGTTACAATAAATTAGAACTATACTGATGTATAATATACTGTATTTATGAGAATTGTTACAATAGCAATTTGATACATCAGCATGTGTTAACATTTCAGGAGTTTTAAGTGTTATGAAATCTCACCAGAAACAATATGCCCACAAGTTCCATTTTTAAATCCAGGCCACAGTTTTAAAAAAAGATTCGCTACACAATCACAGCACGTCAGCTGATCGGCCGAGACCGGGCCAGCCACCATAATCAATATGCTACTCATTATACCATCGGGGCTGACCATTATACCTCCAGCCCGCTCAACATAAACGGTCTGACTCCAGACAATGCCGACTCTTTTCCAGCAAGTCGCTCCACTTCCTGGTACGGCGTGGGCCCTTCGTTGTGAGGGCAGCCTCACAGAGCATTTCTCACATACAGCAGTCCCACTCTGTCTCTGCCTGGCTTCTCACCCAGCCACCCAAAAACCCTTCCCCTTCCTAGTTATAAAAGTTCACATTAAAATCATGTGTCATCATCTCCTCATCACCACCTTTCCATTCAAATGTTTCAGATTTAAAAAGGTGAAGCAGCAAAAAATATGGTTTTATCCGACTCGTGTGGATGAAGTTGTGATGGTTTGCAAATGCTTTACTGAAGAGCAACAGAGACTTTTAGTTATACTTAAAGTCTCTTAAAACCTAACAAATATAATATGAATCTTAATGTTAAAAATATGCAGATTTCTAACTGTGGAATTACAGACGTCGTGCAGAATACGTGATGTGCAGCTGACACCCATGATATCCTAACTTTTTCTAACCTCGAGGGAGAATTTCAAAAGTTGCAGTAATAAAAGTGATTCACATTAATGTACTTTGAACTAAAACACGGTCCGTGTTGAGCAAACGTGCTAAAGCCTGAGCACAGAGGTTAAAGTCCTCCAACGCAGATGTCTCTCTTCCCTTCAGTTTATGATGCGCAAAATCCCAATACAAGGCTGATCCAGCATTTTGTTCAAAGCGTGAACAGATGTTTTATTTATGTATATGCTATAGGATTCTTAAATCAGTCTGCAGCATTAAAGCAAGTTTGCGGATGATATTTAGGCTCAGATATCTTCAGACAATGAAGGGTAATCTTCTGCTCACGTCCTTTGTGCTTATTTTAGCCGTGAATAAGCTTTCCCTTTGACCTGTTGCAACAACAGTGTGAGTTGGCATGGCATGACAGTTTAAGGGCTGGGCAATAATTACATTTTATTGTTTATCACCTTTAGTGGAATTATAGTGATCATATCATGTTAATCATCCTGGAAACCCCTGTTGTCCAAATTAATGTTCCTAAGCAAGTAATCAAAAACTTTAGCTAGAGCTTTATTTTGACATTAATTAAAAATGTGTCTGTTGTAATGTAGAAAAGCAGGACCAGTTCATTGCATTGAGCATCAGTTTGATTACTTTATATGTGATTCGTGTTTTGCCATCAGAACATATGTGTGTATTTGATGAAAATTTAAAATGAGGCCGCTCGTGTTGAAGCAGGATCATTTGCATACCATGCGCTTACACCGACGATGTAGGTTTCAGACTGACTTTTGACCTTTGCTGCATGTGAAACAAAAAGCATCACTCCATCCCCGTCTCTCTCTCCCTTTACCGCTTTACCGTGCTGTAAAACACAGACGAGAACTCCAAAACAATCTGTAAATGAAAGCCATTGTTAATGCCGCCAGGAACTCATCGGTGCCCTTTGTTCCACTTACTGACCTGTCACTCATGTCCAGCTCTATTATTCTACAGCCAGTCAGTGCAATGAGGCCACAAACCACCGCCTGCTGTTTCTGCTGCCTCGGTGCTTTTAATGTCTCGCTCTCATGCTCGCATGCTTGTCTGTGTACTACATGTGTGCGGATATCCCTCCATAACTTCCCCGCATTCTGAATTGCAGGATGTAAAAGAACTCAAGACAATGAGCGATGGAGGGCGAGAACAACAAGGCAAAGAGAAAGACAAAAGACAGAGGAGTAAGAGAGGCAGAGAGACGGAGTGATTAAAAAATTCTTGTCTACGTCCGCCCTGCTGGGTCCTGCTTGTGCCCGAGGGCCAGGGCCCTGCTCCTCCCCTGAATTCCACAGCTATCGGGGCACCAAACAGGGTGCAGGGGGACGAGGGGTGTCCAATAATGTAGGTCCACACACATACTGTACACCAGTGATTCCCAGCTGGGATACATGTACACCAGGGATTACTTCTGCAGTTTCTAGGAGGTTTGTGGAGTAACTCATTTTACAAAAGGAATATTAATAACTCATTTTCAAAAATATATTCACATTGAGCAGCTGTAACACCGAAACCCTACGTGTCACAATTTAAATGGTTAAAAAAGATAGCTAAAAGGGTTAAAATAGTTAGCTACAAGTTATGGATAAACAGTTCAAATAGTTAGCTTAAATTAATGGATAAATGGCTGAAATAGTTATCTCATAGTATTCGATAAACTGTGAAAATAGCTGGCCAAAAGTAATGGCTAAATTGTTGAAATAGTTATCTGGAAGTAAAAGATAAACTGTTGAAATTGTTAGCTTAAAAAGGTTGAAAAGTCAAAGCTTGTGCTTCTTCAAGGGGTCGAAAAACGGATGTAAACTTGTCCAAAAGGAGCATAATATTGAGCCGAGCGTTCAATGAGATAGAAACACTGTTGTACAACCACACCAACTGCCAACCACGCATGTAGTCAAACACAGACACAAAAAGAAGAAAACTCCGTGTGGACCAGTAAAGGAGAAGGAGGAGGCTGGCAGCCGGTCTAATTTTAAGGCCTTAATTATGTAACATACGATGTGGTGTCACTCCAGGGCTCTCGCTGTCCCAGCTGAGGAACGGTGCCCCAGAAGTTTCCCAAAAGCACTAATTATGGTTCATATGAGTCCATAGATTACTACCTACCCCAGCCTTCAAATGAAAGACCTCTCCTGGCCACCGACAGCTTGGAGACCGTTTTACAATTTAGGAGAGAGTTGGCATCGCTGACATTTTGAAGCCTTTAAATGAAGCTTACACCGTTTAAGTGTTTAGAACTGACTTGTTATTTACTTGTTGGTTGTCTTACGGCTATTGAGAACACAATAGAACACCGAAACATCTAATTACGTCGAGACAAACCAAAGATTGAATCTCCCCTAAACTCTGAATTAAAGAGTCAGCTGCTATTATGAGGCAAAACATGTCATTAAAAACAAGCGCTGTGTGCTATCCGGCGGCCCTGTTTCGATCTTTTTATAACCCTGTGTGGACACTATGACAGAGAGGATTTTGAACACACCCTAGCTGTTTACCCAACAGAGAGACAGGCGAGCACTTCTCAGAATCAGTGTTTTTATACTTTGGCTTTGCTGTCTGCAGTGCACACTGCTCATATTCACATTCATGTAACTGTAAAATATTGAAATCAGGTTATATCATCTACTGTTCACCCTTAGTACTGTCATACTGCCAAACAAATGTCATGCAAAGCAACTGACCATGAAAGTTATTCTGCTCTGTGGTTAACACAATTATCTCAAAAAAGTTTCTTGTTTCAGTCACAAAAATATGGAAGAACTTCCTCATACGGGCTTATCAATACAAACATTCAGCTTTCACTGTACTTTATGGCTAAAACGAGACGACAGACCGACAGACCGATATGCAGACAGACAGGAGGTGAAAGCCAGCCACCCAGCAGATTTAGGCAGCTTTAGAGCACAACAGATCAGATGAGATTATCTCTCGCTGATCCCCTGTAAAGTAGACAGCAGATTCATTGATTCCTGCACCGCCTGCCACGGCTGTGGATCCCCCAGTCAAAAATCAACCACACAGGAAAGTATAGGGAAACAAAACATCAAGACTACTACGAGGTAAAAAAGAAAGAAGTAAATCATGACCAGTGACTCAATATATCACAGCATTACAGAATTGGCACGATTGGTATCAACAACAAACTGGTTGAATGTGTTTTGTCGGACCACTGATGAATGACTTTATAATGGTAGCAGTGAGCTAAACAAAGCTCTGTGCTTCATTTAAAGGATCTCAAATAATTGAGAGCTAAATTCCTACTCCATTCTTTTTACTTCCATTGATCAGAACTCCGAAGAAACTATGTGCATGACTTGTGTTGTGATCCTGGAGACCATTCTGCCTCGACACACTCCCAAAGGGTGTGATCTCAGGAGCATGACAGTGACCTAGTGACCACGCTTGGCTCGGGACGCATAAAGCCATGCATGCGTCCCTCCCAGTCTCTAATCCATGCTGCTAATGTCCCAGATGGGAGAGGCGTAAGGGACCGAGGAGAAGGGAGGACAAAACTGTATGCAAAACCATCCGGACGCAGAATTGACAAACACGGACTGTCCAATTTAGCTGCCGCTGTACACGGGAGAGAAGCACGTTGCAAGCACTACCACGGCAGTTTGTGCTGCCTTGATCTGACCTACTTTCTGCCCCCTTTTCCCTCCCCATGTGCCTGGTCTGGGGAAGGGAGAGAGGAGGGGAGACCACCAGGCAGGAAGCAGCAGGCTCCACAGTATAACATACATATGCTCACTGGGAGAGCACTTCATACAAAGTCACGAGCTACACGGCATTCATTATTCAGTAGAGGACATACCAGAAAACTTAACACAACAAAGAAAGATCAGTGCATGTATTCCATTTAAATCTCATCCTTCCATCATCACCATCATCTCTGATCCTGCCTGGAGGCCTAAAGAAGGCGCTGACAGCCTGTCATACATGACAGCTCCACACAGCTCCAACTTGCCTCCCTCTTGTCTGGTTTATTCTGCAGATAGGCTAAACAGCACAGTTATCTGAATTCAAAGGGCCTTTGACCTACATTTCAGCAGCTCTTTTGTTGTACAGTGGACTCATTTGTATCTCTGCTGATCACAGACAGACATCAGGGAGAGCAGCACAAGGAACAGCCCATAATCTGAGCAGGAACAGTGAAGAATCAAAAATGGAAGGGTTTCCTCCAATATGTCAAAATGTGATTGTCTTTTTTTAAAATTTTTTTATGGATCCTGAGCTCCTATCGTTAGAAAAAAAGAGATCTCACAGTGCACAGTTAAATTTAGGAGCTGACAGCAAATATCCTGGCATGATAATTATCATCCATCAGCCAGGATCTTCCTCCCACGCTTTCAGGAAAACAACGCTATCTTTTTATTAATCATTATGTGACCTCCTCCTCCTCCTCCTCCTCCTCCTCTTCTGCACCGTACCTGCCCTCTCTCAAAGTTGTCCTTCTCCAGCTCCAGGCTGTTGGCCCCTCCGGTAGTCCGTCGGATCACTTTGGGAATAGCGTTGGGTACTTGCTGCATGGAGCTCTTCACGCGATCCATTGTCGTGTTTTTCCCACAGCAGCAGCGAAACAAAACACAACTTTCAGCCGATAAACAGGCCGGACTGTAATAAAAAAAACAAAAAAACGCTGCACTAACTATGGCGGGCACCAGTCCATGCTGCGCTGGACTCGTCGCCCCCGTTGGGTCATTTGGCCTCTCTGTCCACCACCCCAGTCAATGACAGGAGGAGCAGTCTGAACGGCACCAGTCAAGTGAGCCACGCTTAGAGGAGGAGAACACTTCCGCTTTTCAAAATAAAGTCCCTGTTCGTTAACGTGCTGCAAACATACAGTCTGACTGCAACGTTTTTTTTTGTCTGTAAATGAAATCTGACGGGCGTAAAAATAGGTCTAATGCTTACATGTAAAATAATATGAGTCATATTTCTGATTGTATTGCCGTAATTAACTCGTATGCGCGATGAACTGCAACCGGAAAGGACAAGTGACATTTTCAATCATTTATATTTCACATTATTATTGTTAAAAGACTAATATGGTGCATGATGAATTTCATCTAAAAAGAATGTAGGAAGTTTATTTTACAATCCACAAAAAACAGAAATGATATGTGCAACAAATTGCGGGAACTTTACAGAACTTAATCTCTGTCTTTGTAACACTCAGTTCTTCAGAAACCTGCACAAAACACACGACGTCCATGGGAAGCCTTCACGCACGGTGTTCTCGCACACACACTCACACAAACGTACGTCTGCTTCAGGTGTGAGGACACCGTTTAGCTGCATGCTGATGAGTGCCGCTGTTATTTGGATATTTTCTCTGGCAACTGTCTCTGACTCCTCCCAATGTTGTCAGCCACTGGCTGGAGCTGCAGCAGGCTCCGCCCACTCCATCAATAATGTGTTGTGATTTTGATTTTCCAACTATATGTAAAACAAAAAACTACTCCTGCAGTCTTATCTTACATATATGACAGAAGTGTTTACAAAATATGTCTTGGTTGGGGGATTCAGGCGACTTCATGCACAATAATATTCAGTCAGTAAAAATACTTTCAGACTGTTGCTGTTTATTACTTTTGCTGGAAAATGTTTGAATCTATTTAATTCAATATAATTTAATGAGGAGCTGTGTGTCATCGTGAATAATGACACACAGTCACAAGCCAAATCATTAGAAAGTTGAATGCATTTTAATGTCTCATGCGCAAACATCATTTTGCCATAAAATCCCCAAATTCCTTGTCATTGAAAATGCAGTGCTTCATGCTATACGCTCTGCAGGAAATTAAGAAATGAATTCTCTAATGGTGTCCTGGTTAGTTCTAGCATTACTTGTCCAATTAACAACAAACTGGCACTGAACATTGCTGGGGAAGTGTGCCACTATCAGCACTGTCTGAGAAGTGATACTTGTTATCAAGTATTGATTGCTATTAGTGGGAGAAGAGCTTATCATACTGTGTCTTTGTTCCCCTTTCCCTTTCAGTCACAATATTTTTTTACAAAGGCATTCTCTGGATGATATAGGCAAGCAGCGCATGGTTTCCTGTCAGTGATCATTCCTAATTACAATTACTGCAACAGGCTCAACCTTTGCTATCAGGTTTCGAAGCATGTTTGCGCTGCACAACTCAAGGCTACCCTCTGTTGGTCAAAGATGGGAACCAGGAGTCAAAACTATAGTGTACATTTAACCAAGCTTTTGTCTACATAAACACATTAGTAAAGGAAAATCCAGTTTTTCACATTCACAAAAATACAAAAAAAAACAAAGCACAAAAAAAAAGATATAATAGCAAAGAAAAGCAAAAGGACCACCTGGACGTTATTAAACAGTTAAATAAAAGGTAGCTATGTACCAGAACCACAGTTTAGAAATACTCCATAATAAGTAAATGCCCTGCCTTTAAAATCCCACTTAAGTAAAAGTTCAAAAGTATTATCAACTAAATGTACCTAAAGTATACTCATTATCATATTGTTAGATTTATGGTCCAATATTGCTGAATTGTATTGGCGTATAAGTAAACAGTTGCATCAAATAGAAATACTCAGGTGAAGTAGAAGTACTTCAAAATTGTACTTAAGTATATGAATACATGCACTGTGAATAGCAACTTCCAACCCAGATGAATACATATAGAAAAAAATAACACAAAATGTGGGCACCCAATGATTACATTAAATACAGTATGAGCAGCATACTGAGGAGGATCAAGCCCAAAAAAAAGAGAAACTAAAAAAAAATGAGACGATGAAATCTCGCGAGACTACCACTGTAACGGAGGACTGGGGCTTGGTCTTGAAGTTTTCAGATGCATCTGTAGATGAATCATAACAGCATCAAGATGTCGGGACGAACAGGCCGCGCTGAGACCCGAAGTCGGGCTAAAGATGACATTAAAAAGGTCCTGGCGGCCATCGAGAAGGTGCGCAAATGGTACGTAGGCTGTCCGGGGGACAATATGGAGGGAAATGTATTAGTGACTGTAGCCTGATATCTGCTGCGTCGCTCAACAAACTTCAGTCGGAAAAGTTAGATGATTGACGGGGCTGCCGACCAATCAATGCCCTGGCTTGACAGGAGAGGCGGAGCTAACTGAGTTTTTTTTTCTTTTTTTTTTTCTGCCAAGAGCTGTCAATATGGCCACAGCCTCACATGCCGCCGTAATGTAACGGCCGTCCCGTAGTCACACAACAGGGACGTCCACGAGCACATTTGGACATCCATCCTCGCGGGATTTACACGCGCACGACACCTAAAGTAAACGATGGCTGTAAAGTGAGCATAGCAGGATGTTTTGATGTAGCTGTCATCTCTCTGCTGTGGGCAGAAAAAGACACGAGCACGTAGCTCCACGTTACAGACTAATGCTATTAAAGCGGACGGTGTGGCGTTGGACCTACGTTGAGCTTATTTAAAAACAATAATGTCTGAACTCATTTCATTCCCAGGGAGAAGAAATGGGTGACAGTTGGGGACACATCCTTACGCATATTCAAGTGGGTGCCAGTAACAGAAACAAAGCAGGTAGGGGCCTCTGCCACGTAACAATACCACGATCATTTTAAGGATTTACTTCAATGAATGTTGTGTCATCAGTTGTCTGATTTTTTTATTTTTATTTTACATCCCCTCTTTCTTATCAGATATATCGCACCAAATCCACAGGTGGAGATGCTCGAGGACTGAAAGATGTGGTCCTGGAAAATGCTACATCTTTACTGGATTTCACTGGTGACTTTTGTGGCTGTATTTAATAAAATACTGGAGACATGGCATGCATAATGGCCTTTACGTATATATGTCAAAATATCACACAACCAAACGCATCAAATAGAATATAACATAACAATATAAAAAACCCAGATGTTAAGTGCAACTCCTCTATTCCTCAGATGAAAACAGCAACCAGAGCTTTCTGTCGGATGTCTACCAGCCTAAAATGGATAACAGCAGCAGCACCTCCAGCTCGCAGCAGGTCAGCCCTCCACACACCTCCAGCCTCCGGACTGAGGACTCTCAGCCACCAATGCTGGGCCAGGAGAGTGTGGATGGTATGTGGATGGCTCTCTGGAGCATATTTACACTCAATTTTTACACATTATTCCTGTAATTTAAGGTTCACACAATAGATCCTGTATTTGAGTATAAAATGGCATCCTAGAGCTAAGCGCTGCGTTAATGAGGTTATATTTCCACCCTTCCTTGTGAATGCAGAGCCGGTTCATTTAGGACAGGAGGGGGCTGATGAGCCTCCCACACTCATCAAGGAGGATCTTCTTTCATCAGGAGCAGTCCGACAGAGCACCCCAGACACACAGGTCCACTTTCTGAAAACGGTTTTGAAGGATAACCCAAAAAATGTTCTTTGATTAATTAATCATTTAATCTCTGCGGTCCGTAGCTTGGTGTAAAATGTATGTGAACATTTAAGTAACATCGTGTTCCTTTTTATTCGACAGGAGGAATTGGAGGAATCAGGAGCACCGCCTTTAAAGAAGATTTGCACAGGAGAAAATGCTGTTCTGAGATAGCTCATTTATAATAGTTTCGTCAAAATACACACACACACACACACAGTACCTGTCCTCAATCAGATTAGCTCAATTTAAAAATATATATATTCTAAGGGTTTTCTTGACATATTCACGCAACTGTTACATTTCAGCAAATGAGGGAAAAAAAAGTATTTACAGCTCAAACTTTGTTCACTTTTAAAGGTCTTTAAAGTATGCTGTTATAAGTGATTTTTGAAATGAATGGTGGGGAATTGTCCAAACTTTGTGTGGCAAGTCACTGCTGTTGCAGGCGGTGTATTTCAAATGCTGTAAATGTTTTCCTGCAACTGTTTCCAATTGACTCATTATGCAGATGAGCTTTACGTTTGCATGTATCCTATTGCTTTATTTTTGAGGTTTACAGGCCATTTTGAAAAGGTGTTAAATGTGTAGCTTTATGCAGATTGATGTTTAGATGTGCCATTTTTCTATTAAATACGAGGCACTTTCTGGAACAGAGTTTCTTTTGGCTTATCGTATGCAAGGAAATGTTTTTTTTTATATTTAAAATATAATTTGCCCATGTTTATAACTGACGACATTGTAAACCATAATAAATGCTACTTTCCAATTCCATTTCAATTAATTGATCCTGCGGTCCATGCTGTGATCGGTATGCACTCATTATTATATCTATATTATAAAGGCAGGGCCTATTGTTTAATCAGACATGTTCAAAATGGAGACCAGACAATGGATTCAGAAATTAAGTCAATAATTCAAGAGGGAATTAATTCCACAACAATTTTAATCAAATACATAATCAGAGTGTTGAAATGTATTTTAGTATAAATGAGATATATGGATCATATAATCTTTATTGTCGTCAGCTGACCTCGAGTTCTTCATCTATATTCGATGCGGGCGTGGTTTATTTGAAGGGGATATTCTACTGTGACGGACAGGCCACATCAGCCAATCAGAGACTGGTTCAAAGCAATTCGACGAAGGCGCTTTGCTGAGGGAGCCAATGAACGTAGAGAGGGGGCGGGGCGTGCTCCCGACGCTGCTTGCTGCCGGGGAAACGGAGTTCCGATTGCGGACGGACGTGTGCCGGTGGACTGGAAACTCCCGCCATTTCGACAAGGAATTAACCTCTTGATTGATCCAGGTTACTTTTTTTGTAGCTCTTGCTAATTATCTTATCCGATAACAAGAAGCTCTGGCAGTACGAACACGCGGGGAATACAAGTGATCCAACGAGAACAGGCCTAGTTTGGAAAGACTTTGGAGTCTTCAACGCGCCATACCTCCTTCTGAACTGAGCAGTTCGGTGTGGTTCATCCTTACATGTTCACTCGGAGGAGCTAAAAGTTTACTAACTATACCGAGCGACAAGTCCGGCAACCTGGTTTACACCTGAGACACTGCGTAAAACCAGCATGGCACCGCTAATAGATGAGAGAAGAAGGATGCGATGAGGCGGGCGGCAAGAAGAAGCGCACTGTTATTGTTTTGCAGCGAGATAGCATTTGAGCCCGTTTGCGTTAGCTAGTCAGCTAGCTGCTACACGTTGGAGCTGGGCCTGCCGGCGGTAAAGTGATACGTGCTAAGATATTTGCGGGACACTTGCATACATGCTAAGGACATATTATTGCATATTATTGTACTAGAAGATTTAATTCTACCATTGGCACCCCGTGCCATCTGTGGATTTGGAAATGGCTCCGCTTTTAGGCCGGAAACCGTATCCACTGACTAAGCCGCTAGCCGAGCCACCAGGCCCGGGAGAGGAGGTCTACATCATCGAGCACACCAAGGAGGCCTTCAGGAACAAAGAGTATCCTTTAACGTGATGATGCTCAGACTTATCGAGCCACTCGTCATGCTGTATACGTGACTTTGTCTACCTGGCTAAACTGATGTCCACATAATCCCGTGCAAAGGACCGAATTAACCTAATTTGATGTTACCTGGCGGTTTCCCCATTTAATGTTTACCCGCATGTACACAGTGAAACGTTACACTGATGACAAGTTGGCTAGCTAGCTAATGTTCACACCGCTGTGCTAATGCAGCTAAGTTAAATGGCTATTTCCCAAAGCTAGCGAAAGTATTTTGTGTGGCACATGGGGAAATAAATATGCTTAATTAAATATAGAGAGACGATAAAGACGTCCTTTCACTTTCAGCTTCCACGGCCCCGCTGACAGCCACCAATGCTAGCGCGGTTAGCTCGCACGCTGCTAACGTTAGGTATCCCATTATGTCACAATAGCCCGTCGTCTTCTCTCTTAGGCTGAGGATGTTGCTCGACTGGTAAGAGTTAGCTTTTAACGTTAGCCTCTGTAGAATAGCTATCATTAGCTACCAGTGCATTACTTTTTGAGTTTGACAAGAGGACGATAGTCGATTCAAATTGGTTTATTTATTCATGGTAGCATGTTTGGTAGATAGCTTTGGTTATGCTGTAATAGTAAAGTGACTTTACTTGTTTCGGTGTCTGAGTGAAAACTTTAAACGTCAGAGATCCTCAACTGTCAGTTATGACAACCCAATGTGACGCTCGCAGTGTGGAAATTAACTTCTAAGTTTTATTTATGGTTACCTAAGTTGTCATTAGTTCTAGTAGATTTGGATTTCTACAGTGGCATAGCAAAATTGTTCACTCGACTGTTTTTATGTAACGTTTTAACATCGACATTTGTCATCATTTCATAAAGAATAGCTATGTGAAGCGCAGGCCTCACTTATACCTCCCCATGCTATCCCATCTACAATAACGGGGATCTTCACTTTACTGTGTTGCAGTCTTCAGTGGTAGCACAGTCAAACTTTCTACTCCCATTAAGTACCCGTATAGGTGTGTTCCACAGAAGTCTCTTCATCATGAGGTAGCTTGGACTCTTTTCCAGCTTCCATCACAATCATTATTCGTTCCTAGCTCCCCGTACCGTTTTGCATTGTTAATTACACCGTTTGTACACTTTTTAATTCTTAGCATATAACCATGCATTTCATTTTTGTACGTCTGTGTTTGTTGGGTGTCCCATGACCTCAGCTTCTTTCTATATTTCTGTCAACGACAGACCACGTGTCTCTTGCTTGTAATTAGTAAGTAAATGGCTAAATAAGGAAGAACTGTTTCCATATGACTTGTAATTTCTTTAACCAAACGCCTACAGAGAGTATGAGGCACGCTTGCAGAGGTATAGTGAGCACATCTGGACATGCAAGAGCACTGGAAGTGGTCAACTCACGCACAATGAAGCATGGGAGGAGGAACAAGAAGTCACCGAACTGTTAGTATGACTCCCTGTTTTTGTTTGCATCTACACGATTCTATCCAACATGTGAAATAAGAGCCATTAGTCTACTCTCTGTTGTCCAACACCTCTACAGATAGGCTGTTGATGGAGTTCTGTGAAGAATACACAGGTAAAGTTCAGTAGATGGTAGTGCTTTGCATTCAGATGCCCAGTAAACCTCTGGTTCCCATTATTTTCTGAATAGCTATGCCCACCACCGGTTGTTTAGATGCCCTCAGAAGCAGTTTCGCCTCTATGACAGCAGCTCGGTAGTATCACGGAAGAGCCGTACTCTCCCAGTGAAGGTCACAAGGCTGGCTGCTTTGCTATGATTGGATAAATCTGCTGCTCCTCCTCTCATTCTATTTAGAGGGTGTGGGATTGAGTCATCCTTGAATCTGCAATGGCCTGGTGAGAGTTCCTTATCCTGATCTGCAAAATGGGGGAAAAAAACAGCCATATAAAATGTACAATGGTTCAACTGATCTTTGTCAGTCCGCTCATCACCAACCAGGTGTGCGTATACTGTATGTACGTGCGCTGTCAGCAAGAGAACGTTGGACCAAACTGTATATATATGTGGCCATGGATATCTCACAGCAATGACGGGGCAGAACATTGCTCAGTTGCCCTGAGCTCAAGTCACTGAGGATCACAGGCTGTGTTTAAGCTCTGTCTAATTATATCAGCCAGGAGGTTTTACTCCCCCTACTGGTCACTCCCAGCCCTTTGTTGTCTAGTTATGCAATGCTCTCATCCCGGTGACGAATGCGTAGCAGAAATCCAAACAATGTGAAAGAAATCGTGTCTGGAATAGATTGCTTCACACCCTTGAAAAAAATTCAATTGATTGTCAATTGTCAGATATGTCAGTGGCCTTGTTTGCTGAGCATCAAGGCATTAAAATCAGTGTCTCGCTTACTACAAAATAGTCTGAGCTTATTACAATGGGAATGCAAGACACTTAACTGTATTGCACTTTTATTTTCATATGCTGTTAAACCTTGTTTGGTTTTTAATGCTGATTTATTTTCTGTGTGCAGGCTTCAGGAGGAGTATCCCCAGTGGTTTGAGAAGCCAGTCCTGGAGATGGTCCACCACAACACAGTGTCTTTAGACAAACTGGTTGAAATGGCCTGGCTGGAAATCCTCACCAAGTATGCTGTGGATGAAGAGTGTGACTTCCTGGTCAGTTTGACCCGTTACATTTCTAAACTTGTTTTTTTTAAACTTGTTATCTTTTATTTTGCAATTTTATCAACAAATTAGACACTTGACATTTTTGCTGCATTTACTAGATCTTATTAACATGTTAAGATGAATGTTCTGCCCGTCCTCAGTGGTAGTGATGTGGAAAGCAGGTGTTTTTAAAGGAAAACTTCCTCGTGGTGTGTTCTGAGATTCTCACAAGACTTTTTCACTTCAGGTGGGGAAGGACAAAAGTTTGCAAGTGAAGGTGGTGAAGATCCATCCCCTTGAAAATCCAGAGGGTGAGTCGGGGGAGAAGAAGCTCGAAGGTGCCTGTGACTCTCCATCCAGCGACAAGGAGAACGCAAGTCAGGAGAACCAGAGGAAAGAACCTCCTCCCAGAGAAGAGGAGAACAGGAGAGAGAGTCTCAGTGAGTTCCATTCGCTGCATGAACAGAGAAAACAGAAAGTTTTGATGCCCGTATATGGATATGACAAAACTTGTGGTATAGTGATTAATGATGATCAGTGTGTTCCTTTTTAAACTGCACATTGGTTGTAGGCCCAGAGAAACAGTTTTTTTTCTTTAAACGGAATGTTTTCTTTTTCCCAGTTTCCACTTATTTGACAAAGTTTCAGCCACTTTTTCTACACGATTGGGGCGGGAAAAGGGGTCCTTTTTTTTTTTTTTTACATGTTATTGTTTCACTACCTATCAGGTGACCGAGCACGACGTTCACCAAGGAAACTTCCCACTGCCATGAAGGAAGAGAAGAAGAGATGGGTGATGCCCAAATTCCTTCCCCATAAGTACGACGTGAAGCTCATCACTGAGGATAAGGTCTGTATCCTGTGGTCAAGAGAAAGTCTCTTGAAACCATGACAGCATATTACTTCTATTTGTGGTTCATGATCTTTTGAGGTCTACACAGTTTGACATTTTGTGAAAGAAGCTGACGCTGAATCTTCCCCAACGACTTGTCTCACAGGTGATCAGTGACGTCCCGGCGGACAGTCTCTACAGAACGGAGCGCCCTCCAACCAAGGAGATCATGCGCTACTTCATCAGGCACTATGCTCTGAGGCTGGGCATGGGCGAGAGTGCTCCCTGGGTGGTTGAAGATGAACTCGTGAAAAAATTTAACTTGCCCAGCAAATTCAGTGACTTTCTTCTGGATCCACACAAGGTAATTTACTCATGGTCATTTTTTGTTCCCACATAAGACAATTATGTGGGAAAAGATATTGCTTGTTCTTGTCTCACACTTTTCTTTTTTTTTGTCTCAAGTTTTTAGCGGAGAATCACTCTGCAAAGCGTAAGAGCTTGTTATCTCCAGAGGGTAAACCGAGCAAGAGGCTCAAGACCCCCGACACACCAGGAGAGGATTCAGGAAACGAGAAGGGAGAGAAGAAAAGGAGACGAAAGAAAGACTCTTTAGGCATGCCCCTTAGTCCAACCATTTGGGGCCACATGCAGGTAAGCTGGCTTGTATGTACATTATCGCGTGTCAGTTATTACTTTATGATGATGGGGTATCTCTTTTCAAAAGCTTCATGGGCTCATATTGTCTGTATTTCAGAAAATGAATGGCTCCCCACTAAAGATGAAGAACTCTGGAACTCCAAAGAAAGGAGAAGGCAAAGGCTCAGCTCCCTCCACTCCAAAATCAGGCAGGAAGTCCGGGGACAAGAAAGAAGGAAAGAAAACCGGAAAGAGCGGCGATAAGAATGTCCTCAAAGCTTCTAAAAAGGACGGTAAAGCTGGTGCCAAGACGCCGAAGATGAAGCAGATGACTCTGCTGCATCTGGCGAAGAGCACCTCCTCTGGGAGCCCTAAGAAGAGAGCCCGTAGTACTGGCATGGGTACGCCCAAACTGGGGAAGCCACTGCACCCTATGGCTCTCCACCTCCTTCGTTTCTATAAGGAGAACAAGGGCAAGGAGGACAAAAAGAACTCCCTCTCCTCCCTCATCTCCAAGGCCGCAAAGACCTTGTCCCCAGATGATCGGGACCGGCTGCCAGAGGAGCTCAAGGAGCTGGTGCAGAAACGCTGGGAGCTGCTGGAGCAGAAGAAGCGGTGGGCGGCCATGAGCGAGGAGGAAAAGCAGGAAGAGATGAAGAAGAAGCGCGAGGAAGTCCGAGAGAAGCTGCGAGAAAAGGCCAAGGAGAGGCGCGAGAAGGAGATGCTGGTCCGCCGCGAGCAATCGCGCAGATACGAGGACCAGGAGATCGAAGGTGGCAAGACTCTGCCGGTGTTCAAGCTCGTAGACATGCCCGAGGGGTTACCCAACACCCTGTTTGGTGACGTGGCTATGGTCGTGGACTTCCTGCAGTGCTATGCAGGGCTGCTGATGCCCGATGACCAGTATCCCATCACAGCAGTGGCTCTGATGGAGGCACTGGCAGGCGAACGCTCCGGCTTCCTCTACCTGAACCGAGTGCTGGTGGTGCTGCTTCAAACGCTGCTGCAGGATGAGCTGGCGGAAGGCTACAGCGAGCTCGACATGCCGTTATCCGAGATCCCGCTCACCATGCACTCTGTTTCAGAGCTGGCTCGGTTGTGCCTGCGGCCGTGTGACGCCCACGGGGAGGAGAGCAACCAGGGCTCGGTGGACACGGGGGCTTTGGGCGGCTTCGACGACGTGGTGACCAGCGAGTTCTTGGAGAAGCTCGAGACAATCGAGGTGTTTGAGCTGAGCCCCGAGGAGAAGGTCAGCCTGCTGGTGGCACTGTGCCACCGCATACTCATGACGTACTCGGTTGAAGACCACGTCGACGCCATGCAGCAACGGTCAGCCGAGGTGTGGAAGGAGCGTCTGGCAATGCTGAAAGAGGTCAACGACCGCAAGAAGGCCGAGAAGCAGATGCGAAAGGAGATGGAGGGCAAAGGTAGGCGGGGGTTAGCCGGAGAGCTCCTCCTCCTGTTTTTAATGTTAAAAATATGTTTTTATAATTTCTATTGCTAAATCTTCCTTCAGCTTTGTATTATTCTTTTATTGATGGTACCAATACATCATTTTTTTTTTCCCTTTTTTTCTTCTGGGCTCAAAGGTGAGAAAAAGAAAGAGGGAGCTGCTAAGAAGGAGATCAAAAAAGAAGTAAAGGTAGAGCCGGAACCGGAGCCAGAGGACATGATCAGCTCAGTGAAGAGCCGGCGGCTGATGTCCATGCAGGCCAAGAAGGACAAGGAGGAGATGGACCGACAGAACAAAGGTAAACTTTGTAGCAAGGAGTTGAGCTGTTGATCCATTTCAAAATGTGCTATTTTAAAAGAAGGCAAGTTTGTTAACTGACGAGCTTGATAGGACATGTACCAATCCTCTGTGTTTTGTCTTCCCACCACTGAGATATTTTAGAGCAAAGCCAGACAGTCTACTGTTAATTACTTTATAGCTTTTAGTTGCTATACCTCACTCTTATTTGTTTCTGTGTTATTTCCCCAAAGAGCGCATGGAGAAGGAGGCTGAGGAGGAGCGTATGCGTAAGCAGAGGGCTTCTGTAGAAAGGGCCTTTCAGGATGGAATAACCAAAGCCAGACTCGTCACGCGCAGGTCCCCACTGGGAACTGACAGAAACCACAACAGGTCAGTGCTGAACACTGTTTCTACTCAGATAAATGTGAATTTGTAGAACAAAGTAAATGATAACCGTGGTTGCTGGATGCCTTTGTTCAGATACTGGCTGTTCTCTGACGTGGTTCCTGGTCTGTACATTGAGAAAGGCTGGGTGCATGAAAGCATCGACTACAGCTTCACCCCTCCACCCGAGGACAAACCAGCCGAGCCCGAGGTGGAAGAGGAAGAGGAGGGTGAGTCGGCCGCTACTCATGATTCACAAGGTACAGTAACTTTAGTGTAAGTTACCTTCATCGAAATGTTAAAAAAACAAATGGTGGCATCAATTCTGCAATCTCGCTCTGCTTGGTGTGGAGTTTTGTGTGTGGACATAATTGGTCATTTTGGTCTTGGATAATGAATGTTTATTTTGTAGGAGCTGAAAAGGACGATGGCAGCATAGACGGTGCTATAAGTGAGGGACCCCAGCATGGAGCAGCAGCAGACATCTGCATAGAAACTACTATTCCCAACCAAGGACAGAACCTCTGGTGAGAGCTTTGTTTCTGTTTTCTTTCTTTTTATCCTTTTCTTTTTACACAATCTTCCTTCTAATATTCTGCCTCTTGAATACAGGTTTGTTTGTGACAATGCAGCTGAGCTGGAGGAGCTAGTGGAGAGTCTTCATCCTCAGGGCGTTCGAGAGAGTGCACTGAAGTCGAAGATACAAAGCAGGTGCATGCTCTCTCATTATAAGAGATAATATCTTTAACAAACATGTGTACAGCTAAAGCATTGCCAGCTGTGCTATTTAAAGCTTTTACATTCAGTTTGCACAGATATGCCTTTATTTTGAAATTATCATTTGTTGTGTTGGTATTAATAGCAGCAGCAAGCTTGTTAAGTTGTTTAAGTGAATACAGAACCACCAGAGCGTCTACAAAAAGTATGAACAGACGAGATTGTTTTTAACAATGCAGCAGTGATGGAGAAAATATGAAGCCGTCTCTTCCCTGTTTCAGGTACCAGGACGTCCTCCACTCGGTCCATCTGACCCGTAAGGCCAAACTGGGCCTCAGGACCTGCGACGGCTTCACAGAGCTGCTCAATTACCTGCGCAGTGACATCCAAGAGGTAGCCTCACGGCTCCAGAAGGGAGGCCTGGGATACCTGGACGACAACGTGGACATCGAAGAGCAGGTAATAAGTTTGTCTGGTTACAATATCAATATTAATGTTCACTGAAGAGTCTTAATCATCCGGTTTAAGGGAGTTTGTAGTACCGTGTCAAGCATAATGTGATAAAGTTATTGGCATTTTGATTATGCAGATAAGTCTACTCGGACAAGTGATTTGGTAATTCATGTATATATAATTATTGGGTTAAACTGGTTACCCCAGTTTTTAAGGATTGATGGTGCACACAAACTATCATACAACTTTGAAAGGTTTTATTTAGTGCTGGGCAACGATTTAAATATTTAATCGGATGGATTTTTTGCGATTAATCGCATTGTTATGGCAAAGTTCAATAATGAATTCAAAAGTAGTGTATTGCGCACTTTTATTTTAAAAGTACTGCTATATGAACAAAATGGCAATAACATTTGGTTCACGAGATGCAGGTAGCATGTTTCATACTTAATGTGAATATAATTCATACTTTGTTGGCATCTTATTCTGAAAACCGGATGTTCGTCTGAAGAAACCGGATGTTGTCTCACGTTAATCTTTCCGCTAACTTTCAAAGTCCTTCGCTCGCTCCCGATTTGTGCCGTTTAAATACGTTTACCGTGAATTTCAGCATATAGGTGCACTAACATTACTGACTATAGGATGTTTGCTGGCTTTTATCCCACTGTTCTTGTCATCCTCTTGTTGTTATGTATATGTATTGTCTCTTGTCTTTCAATTTAAAAAAAAAAAAAATATATATATATAAATAAATAAATAAATAATAATGCATTAACGCGCGATAAAATAATTGCCGGCGTTAATTAATGAATGCGTTAACTTGCCCAGCACTAGTTTCAGTATATCATACTATGTAAAACAGCCAGTTTTTAATTATACAGTGAACTATATTATTTCTGGTTTGTCCACTGAACGTTGTGATTCATAACGTTTTCTTCCCCGTTTCATCTACTATTCACAGTTGAAAGACACTGAGAACTTGAAAGACTTTGGTGAGTGCATCATCACCATTCAGGCCTGTGTCATCAAAAAGTTCCTGCAGGGATTCATGGCCCCGAAGCAGAAGAAGAAGAAAAAGCAAGGAGGGGAGGAAAGCAGCAAGGCCGAGGAGGTGGACGACGAGAAGAGACTGGCGGAAGAGGCCAGGGTAAGAGAACCCAGTTTCAGTGTTCAAGTTCAGTTTTAAGTCGATATTAGATGACCCACATAACAACAAAATTAAAGTTAAGATGCTGAATTTGCTCATGAAACACACTGAATATTACAGGCAGAGCTACCACTATTCAAGTCTTTCTTCACGCGAGTTTAAACAAGTCTGTGCTTCGTTCCTGTCAGGTGGCGACTGCGGTCGAGAAGTGGAAGACTGGCCTCCGAGAGGCCCAGACCTTCTCCCGCATGCACGTCCTGCTGGGGATGCTGGACGCTTGCATAAAGTGGGACATGTCTGCAGAGAACGCTCGCTGCAAAGTCTGTCGCAGGAAAGGTAGGCTTGTTTTCAGCTGCTGTCTCACTCTTTTGGTCTCAAAGAAAGGAATTGGAGCAATAGAAATAAGAGCATTCGTTATGCCTTTTATTGGAATAGAAATGCTTTTGTTATAACACGGCTTTCTTTGTTCAAAACAAAACTCCAGCACCTCTACTGTCTCCTGTCTAATAAATATGGTTTCCTTCTGTTTTTCCTCGTAAAGAAACAGTCAGTCCGTACTTGATAGGTGTGCTGAATTATTGAGTTGCAGTGCTCCTCTACTACCCTTCTGCTCCCTGTCTAGTGCTCAAGCATGACCCGTCTGTGCTGAAGCTGATGGAGTCTGGACCCAGATCCAAACAGGGCAGCAGGGACAGACTCAGAGCAGGAAAGACTAGTAATGTCAGGCAGGTCTACATACAGAGCAGCCAGCTCCGCAGGCCAACAGGTGAACCTGTAGCGATAAGATGACGATAAAAGACAACTTGTTTACTTGCACAGCTGCACACAAATGTTGTTGGCCTTTCAGGGAGTGAAGACAGAAACAAAAATATTGCCATACTGAACTTCTTTAGCTCAGAGCTAAGATTTACATATCGATCTCCTCCAGGTGATGATGAGAAACTTATCCTCTGTGACGAGTGCAACAAGGCCTTCCACCTGTTCTGTCTGCGGCCGGCCCTGTACGGCATCCCTACCGGAGAGTGGCTGTGTCCGGCCTGCCAGCCCACTGTCGCCAGGCGTGGCTCGCGTTCAAGGTGACCGTCTGCCTCACACTTTGTCATATTTTTCTTCAATGACTAACTTATCGGTTTAGGTTTTCAAAACTCACGAGAAAATATGGTACTTATCATTATAATTATAACTACAGATAATGTTCTCTTTGGAATTTTTTGGTTATCAACCTCTCTGTTGTAGGAACTACAACCAAGACACGGATGAAGAAGAGGACGAGGAGGAGTCTGAAGAGGAGGAGTCTGAGGAAGATGAAGAGGAAGAGGAAGAGAATGACTACACAGCCATGGGTCACTGCTGTGAGTACCAGCAAGAGAGGATTTAGTCCAGATTCTGATGGTTCACCATAAGGGTTTCAACCAGAAGAAGTCCATGTTTCAGTCTCTTTTGACTTCTATGGACCAACTCCAGACTGGAGTCTTTGCGTCATCAATGCGTGGCGTTTTGTATTAAAAGCCAGCGTTTCTCAGATTGGAGTGAGAGAAGGAGAAACGGTGATGTCGTGATCTTCGCAATGAAACATCTTTGATGTGACTCGTCTAGTCTTAGCCAATCAGCGTTAAGCTGTCTACAGCGTCTTCATTTCCCTCCGTTACAGTTTAAGTTGCGTTCATACTTGCTGGGTTAAGTTAACGTCCTCTGCATGCGGGACTTTGTCGACTGTTAACGTTCGTCATAAAGAATTGTAACGTGATGAAACATGCAGCCCCCCCCCCCCGTGTTCCGGTTCAGTTCACGCGGTCAGTTATTAACGTTAAACCGGAACACCAAAGGATCTGGTTGCAGGTGTGTGTTTTGTTTTTTTTAAATTTATTTATTTTTTTATATATATAAATCAAAGTAGAATGAGGCCCAGATACTGATGAGATGATGAGGTCAAAGAGCTTAATGACGAGGAGGCTGTTTGTGTAGCGCAGCTTGACGCAGGGCTGAGCTGTGAGTGGATCTGGGCCTGGATAAAGGTGGAGGTCTAAACAGACGTGAGTCTTCCTGCTGTCACAGTGTTTTAAATACATTGATAAGGCAGGGTATGCTGAATGCAGCCTCTGCTCCAAGGAGATGAACTACAGCAACACGGGCTCACGTGCCCTCTCATCACACTGTTCACACCGTTCACTGTGATGACCACAGTCGGTGTACTAACAGTCCCAACAGTCCCACGTTGCTCCCAAGAACCCTGAAGTAATGAGAGGGTTAAGGTGCCTGTACCTTCATTTCAGCGGGTTGCTAATGCAGATGTGTGTATAGATCACAGCTGCTATTTTACTCTTGACAAACTACTTTAGCCAGAGTAGATTATCATTTTCATTTAAATAATTGAACTGGATTGAATGCATATTAATTGCAAATAGAAGATAGGCCACAATTCTAACAGCTTTACAGTAACAGTGGAAGTTAATATGAAGCCATACAGTAACAGGGTTCAATGAAAACAAATCACTTTATTTTGTATAGGCGATGGTTCTCGCTACTCTTGCTGTCTTTGTTTTTATTTGACTCAAACTTTTAAAAATGAGACCTCGGTCTCAATGGATTTTGTCTAAATAAAGGTTAATAACAATAATAACAATAGAGCGGAAATACTGATTAATAACTGAATAATAAATTAGTTGTTTTTGCTTAAAGTAAATATCTTATTACTTAATTTTCTCCTCAGAGTACACCAGAATGCTACATTTCAAAGCTCATATTTAAAATGAAGTTCTCCTCCCGACAGGGTTTCGGTGCTTGTCACCTCTTATGAGTTTGCATGTATGGAATGAGAGGAATGCTGACGGGGAGTTACGGCCCCGCTCTCTTTTGTCTGGACCTTTTGCTTTGAAGCCTCGTTTCACTCCGGCTTCCCTCCGAGTATGCGACAGGATGATCCCCGCTGTCGTTTCAAGCCGGCACGTCAAGGATAACGAATAGGAAGTTTGATGCATCAATGCTGAACAGTTCAAGAGAGAATCCTAAGAATCTTTCTCATTTCTAGAGTGACACTTTGTCACAGTTGACGGCATTGCACCGTATGATTGAGTTGTTTCAAATAAAACTATAGAGAACAGTTGGGTCATCATTGTAATGGAGATATTGTTTGAAAGTGATTTAATGCCTAACTGCAGGTTGTGTGACAAATGAACATAACTGGTTATTTCAGATGTTTTTATACATCTGAATACCTCTTCTTGTCTTGATCCCCTCTCCATTATTTCTTTACAGTGAGACCAAGGAAGAAAAATAAGCAGTCTTCATCTCGGCAGAAGATTTCAAAAAGTAAACCCAAGAAGCAGTCGTCTTCAAGTAGTCAGAGCAGCAAACAGAGGGCCGGCCCCAACAGCCCCGCAGACATCGATGAACTGGTGAGAAAGCAGCAGGACTCCCCCGTACAGAAGCTACGTCTTAACTCTTAGACGTATTAAGGAATGAAGTGTGAAGTGTTGTTGTAATTGTGTGTGTGTGTGTGTGCTGTCCGCAGGTGCGACAGAGTTCCCAAACAGGAGTGCGCCGGCAGGTGCTGGAGCTGGAGAGGTGCGAGGAAATCCTCAAGAAACTGACGAAATTCCGCTACAGCTGGCCGTTCAGGTGAGCAGAGAACACGATCCCTTTGAATGGACATTCAGTTTATTATGGAGCCGCAGCAAATACTTGCATGTGCGAGACCAGTGTTTCCACCCAGAAGTTCTAATAATCTAACAGAAATATCTGTAGAGGCACCAAATCTTCAGACACCATGATGATGATCTAACGTGGCTCTCCTCTCACGCTGTGCTCCTCTTTCACAGGGAGCCCGTGTCCGTGGAGGAGGCAGAGGACTACCTGGACATCATCTCCCAGCCCATGGATTTCCAAACGATGCTCGGGAAATTCAGCCAGGGCTCGTATCGCAGCGCCCAGGATTTCCTGGAAGACCTGAAACTCGTCTTCTCCAACGCAGAGGAGTACAACCAGCAGGGCAGCACGGTGCTCTCCTGCATGGTGAAGACGGAGCAGACGTTCACCGAGCTGCTGCAGAAGCTGCTGCCTGGCCTCGGCTACCTCCGCCGGCGTTCACGCAAACGCATCAGCCAAGCCCCTGCAACATCTGAAGAAGAGGAGGAGGAGGAGGAGGAGGATGAAGAAGAAGAAGAAGAAGAAGAAGATGATGAACAAGAGGAGGAGGAGGAGGAGGAGGAGGAACCAAAAAAGAAGATGCAGAATGGCAAATCGAACAGAAAGAGAACCAGAAATGTTCGAGGACGGAGGGAAGAGGAGAGGGAGAGTGGTGATGAGGAGGAGGACGATGATGATGAGGAGGAGGAGGAGGAGGAGGAGGATGATGATGGCAGGAGGAGGAGTAAGAGGACCTCCACCACCTCAGGCAAGAAGGATTACAGGGAGGAAGATAGCGATGGCGAGCGGGACACGCAGAGAACTCGTCAGCGGGGGGGCCGGGGCGATGCCGGCGGGGCGCGCAGTGAAGAGGACCGGTCCAGCAAGCAGCGACATTCCAAGCGACAGAAACGCTCATGAAGTCCAGGGTGCTTTGTCTTTCTTTCTTTCTTTCTTTTCTTTTTTTGGTCGTCTCTTTGCTTTAAAGTTTCTGTCCCGCTCTTCTAAAAATTATCAAGAGCCCTTCATCTCCTCCTCCTCCTCCTCCTCCTCACAGCCAGCGGGACTTAATCCTCAGAAGGACTTTTTTGTGTTATTGAATTTCTGTTCATATTTTGAAAAACGACAAAAGAAAACTGATTTATATTTGTAACATGTTTAATATAGGTGATTATTTTTTTTCTTCTTTTTCAACAAAGAAAAGTAAGACATCTGAGATAATAGATGGGTCCTTGTAGCTCTTAAGACTCTTTGATTTGACTTTCTGTTCCAAGTTGACAACATCTCACACACACACATTCACACGTTTATTTTGACTTAATGTTGTCAGTTAAAGAGATGGTGTCCATGTAGCCGAAACCCTCTAGGAAATCTTTTTGTTTAAAAACAACGCAGATGACTGATTATGACTTTCTCCTCTCACCTGTAAATCACTCTTACTACTAAGCATCTTGACACCAAGATTCTCTTTGGTTCAAATGCCAGTCTATAGTTAAACTTGATAGTGTTTTTACTAGTTTTAGAATTTATTGTTTTGTTTTTTTTCCCAGCCCAGGTGCAGATTTAGTGTCAAAAACTGGGTCGACACTTCAGGTCACACGTGTAGTCGCGTCGCTCTCGTGCTAGAACACGAGCTCCTTCTCGGCTCTCTTGGTGCCAAGATGTTTTCAAAAACATGGACCGGATTTGGAGTCTGGTTCTTGGCGTGTAGAGCTGAGCAGCCTTTCCTCTGTGGTGCCCTGCCACTTTAAAAAAGAACCGGTACCTCAACGGGCCACCAGTTTACACTCCTGTGTAAAGTGCACCTATTATTATGCCAGCAGCTGCAGGACCAGACTTTGTTGAAATGATGTGCATAGACATTTGTAAACAGTGTTCAAAGCAACAAATGTGACATTTGTTCAGAAAATGGGCATTTTTTTTGAATATTTGATATTTTTTGCACATTTTTATTTGGTATTGTAAATGATAACTTGTTCTTAATCACATCAAATAAACGGCAAAGTTTTGAATAACCGGGGGGGCTCTCCCAGTCAATGACGAGAACACGGCAGAAATAATCTAGTCACTTGTACATTTTGTAACTAAAACGTTAAGTCGCTCCATTTAAATTTTATTTAGTGACGCACATTGAGGGTGGAAAGGCGAGTGAAGGCTTCCCTGCATGGCCTGGCTCGGTCACCAGGTGGTGCTCTCCTGCTCTCTGAGCACTCTTCGTCCCAGCAGTGCAGTGACGCTGCTGCTGTGACTCTCTGCTCATCAAAGGACAGAGGGAGCTCCATGGCGCTGGTGTGTCTTGGCTCTACAACTTGTTTTTGTAATAACTTCCACACAGTCACGACTTAACAAAAACCCTTTTTTTTTGGAATGTGCAGACGTTTGTGTGGTGAGGTTGCCAGCGATGTATATGCACACATGTATACTGATGAGGCTGTGGTTGGTTTGACCTCTCCTCTGTGCTGTTCAGTGTTTTTCTAGTGAGCTTTTCATCATCAGCTTTCTGATTTCACTTGGCCACCGATTGTTTTTCACCCCCCCCCCTTATTTTTGTTTAAATCCAGCTTTGTTCCTGACACAATTCACAAATTGTTTAAATCACTGTTGTAATTGTTTGACATTTCTACGAACAAACAAAAAGGTGACTGCCCCTTCTCAAGTTGAGACCTGACTGTAAATGCTTTCTTTGTTCTTTGGGGGAACTACAAAAAAGTCTTTTACACTTCCTTTTTTTTAATATATATATATTTATAGTCTAAAGCTGGGTTTGGGCAGGTTAGGAGCATACACTTGTAAAGAATTTCCAATAAAGGCTATGGACGAAGACCGTAGTTCTCCCTGTGTTATTTGAGCCGATGAGCGTCCCCCTGGTCAGACACAGACATCACTGCCATCTGTAAAGCCTTGTAATAAGACAATGATTGTGGAGGAAAACGGGTTAGCCGTGACTGTCGACTGGTGTCTACTTTTACTTTTTAATAAAATATCAAACATGGTCTTACTCTCTGATGTGGACTCTTTTCTCAGGAGCATCTCCAGCTTCTAATGGAAGCCAAATTAGCTTCAAATCTGTTTGTGTTGAAACGCAATCAAAAGTGACGTTACGGAGGAGAAATGTCTTCAATATTTACAAAAGGAGGCTGAGCAACTTGGACTTGTAATTATGCCGTGACAACATTTTGTGGAAAATGTTAAGCTTGTGATGATTGAGTTTGGCCTTAATCACACAACTCGGGCTCTATAACTCACTTCATATTGAACCTTAAGGAACAATATTAATATCCTCAATTCACTCGGTTTACAGAAAAGACCAATAGAAAGCTGTGGACACAAGAAACTTAAGATATTTACACAAAGTTATTACCGAATCTAGACTAGACTGCCATTGAGTTTGGCTTCTTATAGACCAAAATAAAGATTTAGCTGCAGTTGGTAGTAGCAGGTTTCACAGGGAGCTCTCTCCACAAACATGTGCCCGTACAGGTGATAGGTGGCACCAAAGATAACTTAAGAAACTGGGAAGTCCCAAAGTTATATAGAGTATGAATATTATACAAAGGATGTGTTCGGGATGCATGGAGCAGAGGAGAGTGCAAGGAGGACAGCAAGAAGTGCTGACAGCGGCGGAGCCATCTGTAATTTGGCAACAGGTGTTTAGGGCTGAGATGTGAAAAGTCAGTGGAAACGTAGCACTTGATTAGTGAGCGTTCAAACAGTGACGGCTGGATTCAGCTATTATAAACAGAAATAAAATCTAATTTTGGAAATAAGAATGCAGACATGTTTTTTTTAAACACATTGCTCATGTCTCTGTATGTTAAAATGAAAGCGTGTCATTTGTGTCCATCTTCCCCGGAAGTCTTTGCAACTGGCAGCATGTTGAGCCACAAAAGAAGACGGAGGACTACAGGTCCGTGTTCTTGACCCACAAGAGAAGAAGTTGATGGCAGATTGAGGACATCGTGAGTCACGTGCCCCGAGGCGTTGGGAGGGAAATGGCAGCTTTTGTTGTTATTTCTGAGTCTCACTGCAGACTGCAGAGTCGCTGTGACAGACACTTTTCGGTGGCTGACTGGTTTGGGGAAATGGAGCCAAAACAAACCGAACATTTGCTTGAACTCACTTGCATGATTTGAGTGAACTTCCAGTGAACTCAAGCCTCTTTAGAATTCAAGAACTCGTCGTTAACCTGAATAATACAATACAGTCGTGATGTATTAACTTTTAGAAGTCTTCAGAAGATTTATCAGGGTCTCCCCAAACCCATGAAAGGTGTTTTAAGTATTGTTCATTCCTCACACGGTGCATCCTACGCAGTGAAACACAGTTGAGACATTCATTAATCACCAAACTTCTACTCCCTGTTGAGGTAAAAAAAAGACATCATCTAAGTAGCAAGACTTAGAGGCTCAGAAATAGTTACACAGTTACATGATCTGAAAGAATCCTATATGAGGAAACTTGCTGCAGACATGTATGCCCTCTTTCAGGATGAAACACTTTGGTAAAACCCTTGTACTTTTCCTGGCGCCGGCATTAGGTTGAAATGTGTCCAATACTTTAGTTTAGGACCAAATACCTGCAAACAATGACAGTAGCCTCATCTGTACTTTGCGAGCGCTACTTAGCGAATATTAGCATGCAAACACGTTAAATATGACTGAGAAGATTCACACTTTTGTCCATTTTGTGTGGAACGTGGAAAAACTTTGCCAGAGTGAAAATAATGACATATTAATAAAAGAAGCAGAGGACTCCAACCTGTTGGAGAGCAGTAGAATTTATCGTTAATCGCTGTACAATCTATTATTTTTTATTTTTATTAGTGACAACGTTAAAGGCATCGCTTGTAGTTAAGACACTAACTCTGCAGCTCCTCCCAGCTTTACAGAGCTTTATATCATGTTTCAGCTCATTGTTTAGCCGTCCCGCCTTTTAACATTACAGTTTTGGTTCACATTCACTGCTCTCAAAATGTTGTTTTTCGACTGCAGTAAAAAGGATCTGAAGACTTACTCTACACTACCGGCTGAGCACCAAACAACAGATAAGACGCAGTTAGAGACTACCTTGTGAACATAATGGAGAATTTGACAGCTAAAGAGCCAGGCATTTCCCTCAGGAGTTGGTGGAGACCCAAACAGAGCTAAAAAGGGAGTGAATACTGGATTTACATTCATCAGTTTGACACAAACAAGACTCCAGATGAATTATATGTTGCTCTATAACTGCTGGATGTGTATATAAGCAACTGTTTGCAAAAAAGATTCACCATATTACCATGAAAGGTGATATGGGTCAGTGTTGTGTTCACAGCTCATCTCACTGTGTTTAACTTCTTGTAGCAGGTGGCTGTGGTTTGACAAGCTATCGTACACTTATTAGGTTTTATGTTGCTTCCACTGTTATGTCACAAAGTCTGACCTGACAGGTTGAAGCAGGAGCAGCAGGTGCCTCACTCTAAAACAAGCAAACACTGGCCATGCGCTGAATAATCTTTGAACCCTGAGCAAACTGACAGCAGCAGTGTACGACCGAGACATCAACACGGTGTGTGTGCATGTGCGTGTGTGTGTGTGTGTAACAGCAGAGCTGAGCAGCCCACCCTGCAAATATTTACTCCTGGTCCAAGTTGGTGCAGAGGGCATCTGGCAAGGAGCGAACAAGTGTTTCTCACTCTCATTCCAGCAAACATGATGTGCTGCATGTCTGTGGGGTGACTTTACTGTGACCACATTAAAGGACAGTTGAAGCATTTCAATTTGAAAATGATTTTTTGTTTTGTTTTCATTGCTCATCAATACAATACTCAAATGAAAATGTTTATTAAATCTAATGACAGTGTTTCAGTAATACATTAAAAGTTTCCCGAATTGGTTTTAACCTCTTATTTTTGTCATTTTACATTCCTTATGTCCTTTTGTTTCTTATCTCTTCATTAAATGCATGCATGTAACCAAGACAAAAGGTGTTCTTTAAGATTCACTCCAGTTTGGTTCCAGAACACTCAAAGTCATCCTCAATCAGAAAAG